AGTACAAGCTACGCAAACCAAAAAACGCATATCCTAATCTGACGATTCAAGATATATAATAACGAAAGAAACTGGCGTACAAAGAACCCACAAAATCAACCTCGAAAATAATGAAACCACAAAAGAAGAATATAAACTTAAACTGGGAGACGAGATAGCGCAAGGCATATACCTACAACTGGCGAAAATCGGGGAACGCCTTCCAGTTGACTCTTTCGAAGAACTAGAGGAATCCACGCAAGGAGATCAAGGCTTCGGATCCACGGACCGACGAGTTATTATAAATTATTTATAATGAGGGTGTGAGTTTTAGAAGACTCTCGACATGCAAAGAAATGGTTATACCATATCAATAAGAAAGCAACTCGAAAAAAGACAACTGTTAAGATCCTGGAATTTAATCCATTATCTTCACCACAGTTAAATTGTACCCAATTTCTTGAAACAAAGTGGATATATAAAAATTATGAGTCACAACCACTTATTCTTATCGAATGTCATCCGCGATACACACATCCACACTAATGTCCCATAGAGGAAAGTAAAGGAATAGCAACACTGTCAGACAAGGAAATGATTAAAAGGGATTATTTCATGTAATTAAACAGGGAAATCTGCTAAATACGTTCAATAACAATAACGAAAATGACGGTTACACTATTGACCAGATGGAAATTCCGCAAAACACATCCCTCAAGGACCAGAAGAAAACTACCACTTGCAAACGGGTTGGAACACAAAAAACTCGATCTAAGATAAGGAAATCAGACGGGAAAACTGCCAACATTATCACGAAAATACGACTGATTGTTTGTTAAACGATGGGGTGGGAATAATAGACCTACGAAAATAATAGTGGAGATACGGTAGTATCTGAACATGTGGTCAAAATAATTGAGTCATTGGCAGAATTAAGAGTCAAAGCCAGAATAATTTGGCCACATATTTAGAAATGAATAAAAGAATAAATCATATTACAGAAAAGCCACCAACACACTAGCCAGATACTGCACTAATAATATATTTAACCTCGTAGGTAACGACGTACGTTCCAGCCGGTAAAAAAAGAAACTCAACTGAAAACGCTACACAACCCTCCGAACTCGAACAAACACGGCATATCGATATACGAATCAGCCTTCCACTCCTTTTTCAATTCCGAAATTTCACGTGACTTTTTTATTATATATATATTGCAAAAAAATGAAAAATCGCAAATAACTTAAAATTTCAATGTCCAGCGTGAAAATTTTTGATATGCCGATACTTTCCTAGCGGTAATCATAATTGACTAATTTTAGAAATAAAAATGAATGTATATCGATATTAAAGAAAAGTACTAGCGCAAATCAATAACGATAACAGTAATAAAATCGAAAGATATATATATCAGAGATCGTTAAAACAGGACAGATTGATTGTTGATTATCGAGAAATGGAGGAAAAAAATAAACAATAAAAAAATAGAACCAGCTTGTAAAATGCAAATCGGTTCTGTTATGAAAAATTATTTTCTTTTATCTTCAACTAATGATTGGAATTACAGTGGTTTTCATCAATTCATGCTCATGCTAGGTTATAAAAATGACTATAAAATATTTTATACATTATCGGAGACAATTGGGAGATATTATCAAGAGAGTAACAGTAATAATCATCATGCTAGAGATACAAGAATAACAGTAATAATCATCATGCTAGAGATATCGCACAGTACTATAAAGATGTAAATTAATTTGATTTTATTAAAATATTATATTTAATCCATGATGAGATAAATATAATGATTAAAAATGAGTTTACGTGATTGATTTTTTTTAAACGGCTTGCTGACCCATGTGTTTGGCTAAGAATTGATCCACTTTTATGTGACTTCGATTGTTTTCAATCTATTGAAATATATTTTACTCTAATTTTTTTCTTTAAACAGCTTCCTAACCCATTTTTTTGGCATCAGTTTGCTAAGAATCAACTCACCGTTATGTGACTTCAATTTTTTTCTAAATAAATTTTACTTTTTAATTATAAAGTTACAATCACCATCATTGAGAACAACATCATCATCATTATCGTCACCATCATCATTGTCATCATCCTCATTAACATTATCATCATCCTTGTCCTGTTATCATCATCCTTATTTTTGTTTGTCATCATTCTTGTCTTCATTATCATCATCCTTGTCTTTGTTATTATCAATCTCATCTTTTTTATCATTATTCTTGTTTTTTTGTCATCATTCCCATCATCATCATCATTTTATCATCATTATTTTTGTCATCACTATTACTGTGTAATATATTAATTGAAGTATTATCAAATGTAAATTCTAAAGTAAAAAATTATTGGCGCGTGTCTGATAGGTGAAATTATATAAATCATTATACAATTGCCTGTCCAGCATCATGATATCTGTAAAGATAGATAAGTTATATCCAGATAATATGAGTCTTAGATCTTTATTTATCAGAATTTCAATATGTGATTGAAATTTTGATAGATGAAAATTCATTATATAAACATTATGAATATTTTAAAAATAAAGATAAATATAGCAAAATATCTATTAATCGTTTATCATTTTTGATATTCATAAAATGATTGGTGTGAAGATAGTTTATTTCAATATCTGACATGTTTTGTCTAATTATAACTATACAAATTTCTTTGTAAAAAGAAAAAGGTAATATATTTAATATCACTATAAAAAAATCAAAAAATTTGAATAGTATAATATTTCTAATTGTAATATTACTGAAAAATCTCATTTTATATTAATAATAGTGATATTATTTATTACTATTATTATATTTAATAATAATAATAATAATAATAATATAAAGAATAATAAAATAATTCAAAGTTTCAAGAAATTATTAATAATTTAATTGCTAAAGAAGAAATAGATTTCAGCTTATTTATTAGTGTTAATATCTTTCTTGAATTAGTTCTTAAGCAGTCATGTTCAAAGTATCAAAATATAGATATTACATTTAAAAAAATATAAAATTATTATTTCTAAATTTTTAATAAAATTTAATATTCTTTGTATTTAATATTTTACTAAAATATATTATAGTAATAAAATAATTAGAATCAATTATTCAAAACTTATTGCAAGAGCAAATTTAGTTAGAGATATTAATAAAGAAGAATGATTAATTATATTATTTTTATATAGTATTATTATTATAAATTATATTTTTAAAAATAAGTTTTATTAGAAATATAGCTCATAATAAGTTTTGAAGACTAAAATTAAATTATTTATAAAGATAAAGAGAATTATAATTATTCTAAAGATTTTTTTTAGTGTCAATACTTATAAGTATCATAATATCACAAGATAAAAATAAAAATAAATAATAAAGAGTATAATCATAAAAATTATAATAAGAGAAAGATATCCATAACTAAAATAATAAAATTATAATTATAATTTAGTATACTAATTAAATTCTTTGATAGTATTTTTTTAATTATTAGATAAATAAAGAATATATATCAAAAATAAATAAAGCTTTTATATATAAAAAGCTTATAAGAATCTTGTAAATCAAAATAAAATATACTTAACTTATTTAAAGTGAAGAGTATCTATTATCTATATTTTTCAAATAAGAAAAATATATAACTAACTAGAATATAATCTATTATTATAGAAGAGATAAATGAAAATAAATATCAAGATAAAAAAAATAAGATAATCATAAGTATAATTCAAATAGTTTTTAAGTATAAAAGAATAATTATTATTCAAGTATATTTATTTTATATTTAAGAATAGAAATATTTAGATATTTAAAGTTATATAAATTTTGTTTGAGCTCTATTTATAACTTTTTTGTAATTATATTATTCTAATATATAATTAAATAATTTGAAAAAATTTCTTAAATAAATTACTCAGCTAATATCTTATTAAAGTTTAATTACAGAAATATAAACTAATCAAAATGAATTTATAAATAAAATTAAATTAAATTATACAGATAATGTAAGATTATTTTATTAATAATTATAAATAAGATAAAATACAAGTTTAATTACAGAAATATAAACTAATCAAAATGAATTTATAAATAAAATTAAATTAAATTATATAGATAATGTAAGATTATTTTATTAATAATTATAAATAAGATAAAATATAATATAAATAGTTTTAATTTTATAACTTATAATTATT